CATTGCTTCATTATAGGTTTTAGGATCACTTTTCACTTGAAAGAGCAAAATGTATTGTTCTAATAACATACTTCCCATACCCTCTACTATGTAAAAAGAAATAAGTTGGAAATTTATCTCATCTGATCCTAGACATTTTTCTTTTTTATTTCTCTTACTTCTTCGAGGCTCTCTTTCAGCATTTCTAGTAGACGTCTCTTCATATAGCTCTCTAGAATTCGGAATAGATTTCCTTGCTACTAATACATTCTCGAAGAATTTCACTTCTCATGATTCTATTATAACATTCGATTCAAGGTTTAATAACCTATAGGCCTTGCTATTAAGAGCATATCCTACAAAAGCACATTTGATACCTCTAGAATCTAACTTGGTTCTCTTGGGATTCGTGTTTTTATAATAAGCAAGATACCCCCACTCTTTGAAATAATTAATATTTGGTTTCCTATCTTTCCATATTTCATATGGAGAGATCTTATTATTTCTCATAGGAATCCTGTTTACTATATGAAAAGTACTAAGCCCCCGTTTGGCCCCCATTTTTTGAAAATGAACATGAGTGGAATAGTGTTTTTTTGAAAAATAAGTAGTTGAGAAAGAAAGAAAAATTTTCGATTTACATGTTATATTATGTTATGAAAGATTGTGTGGTTGAAAATAGGGGGGAGAGAGAGAGAGAAATGGAATGTAATGAAATGTAATTTAATGAGAACCAAATGGGAGCTAAGTAAGGCTTCATCCCATAGATTAAAAGGCAATTCAAAATTTAACAGCATAACATTTATCATCTATTAGAATGTCATATTCTTTTTTTCTGCTAGACTATTTTGTTCTGGTGTTCGTGGTGCAGAACGTTGATGTGTTATTCCATTTTATTCACAAAACATATTGAATTCATTAGAGAAATATTCTCCATCTCTATCACTTCTCAGAGTTTTTAGTTTTCTTCCTAATTGATTTTCAACTTCAGCTTTATATATTTTAAAGTTACTTTTATGTTTTAGCATATATACTTAAGTATACCTAGAACAATCATTGATAAAAGTAATAAAATATCTATTACCATCTCTTGTTAACATGTAATTCAATTCACATATATTGGAAGGAACAAGTTCAAGTAATTCCGTTAATCTTACTACACTATGAAACTGCTTTATAATCATCTTTAATTTAATACACGTTTCATATTTTTCTAAATTATCAATTTCACATTGTATCAGTCCACATTTAACCATTATTTTCATTGTGCTAACTCTTATGCGTGCTAATCTACCATACCATAAATTAAATGAATCAGTAACATATGTAAAAGACTTGATTTAATTAGAGTCATTCTCAAAAGTACATAATTCGACCATTCCTTCAGCGGAATAGCCCTTTTCAACAAAATACCCATTATGGGTTAGTACAAGTTTTCAAAATTCAAAAACAGATTTAATTACAAGTTTTCCCAATAAAACTCCACTTGCTATGTTTCTATTCATATCTAGTACATGTAAGACATTTGTCAAAGTGATCTTCTTTCTTGAAATGAAAATGATTTCCACATTACCTTTACCAATCACTTCAGATTTTCCTTCATTTCCCATTTAGATTTCTTGACCATCTTTAATGTCATGATAAGTTTTGAAAAGAGACTTATCATAACAAACTTGGATTGTAACGCAGGTGTCATACCACCATCCCGAAATTTTCTCTTGGATTGCATTGATTTCACTCACCGTAGCGATAATATCATTGATGGAATTTACTTGTCGTTCCTTCTTTTTTATTTCCTATGCCTACAATCTCTTGCATTGTGTCCCGATTTTCCAAAAATATAGGAGGGTCCCTTGGATTTATTTTTGAACTTCCCTCAATCCTTTTTAATACCAAGAAGTTTCCCTTTTGTTTTGTAATTGTTGGGGTTGTCTACATTGCCACGACATTGGCTTTCGAAGAGCCGTCATAAAAATTTTCAGTCTTATCTCTTGCCCTTGACTCTTCCTCTATACGAAGATATTTTTGTATATCTTTCAAGGAAAAGTCTTCAGAACTATGTAAAATATTTTTCCTATATCCTTTCCAAGATCTCATGAGTTTGGCAATGATTGCTCCCATTTGAAAGGTTTTGGGAAGTTCGATCTTCACCATTTTAAATTTGTTTACAATTATTTGTAATTCATGTACTTGAGACAACAAATGAATGTTATCAAGAATTTTGAAATCAAAATATTTAGAAATTAAAAACTTTTTGATACCTTTCTCTTCGGCCTTATATTTGTTTTCAAGTCATACTAGATCTCTTTTGCTGATGTGATGTTTGTGTAGAGATCAAATAATCGATCTGACAGTGCATTTAGAATGTGGCTGCAACATATTAATTCGTCCTCTTTCCATTTCTTTCTTTTGTCACGAACTTCATCAGTATCTTTGTCTATTGCGTTGGGAATTGGCTCCAATTTTGGATTGAGCATGTAGAAGATCTTTAACGCCATTAGGAAGAATTTTAGTTTGTCCTACGATTTTGTGAAGTTAGCACCATCAAATCTATCCAAATGCACTAAGTCTTGATTCATTATTTTGATAGTATCGAGTGTAGATTATGTCTCCATCGTAATAAGATGAGGAATATCACTTGAGAATGTTACGAAAAATACAGCAATGGAGAACAGATGGGGAAGAAGTGAATAAATATAAACCGATGAAGACTTGAACATGAAGAATATATTGATGTTCTCAAAAAATATTTGTCTCCTTCACAATGCGCATAAGGATTAAATATGGCAAATGTCTGTAGGATATAATCAAGCCTTGAAAAAGAGCACCAAAAGCAAAAGTATCTTCAAATGAACAAGTAAAAAAGAAGAATTTGATTATGTAGAGAGAGAGAGTTTCATGAAAAATTGGATGAAATTAAAAGTAGTTTTTCATATGTTTTAGGGATGAACACACCTTGTATTTATAGTATTCTACCATTCCAACATGAAGTGGTTTCAATTCAAATGAATAGGTGCATAGTTTCACCAAAACCACTAGAAATTTGAAAAATTTCCAGCCAATGGTCACTTTTTTCTACTATGCAACCGCATGGGCTATAACTATGCGGTTGCATAGTTATAGCTTTGGCCGCCTTATGGTTCTCTGAAAATCTAGATGCGATCACAACCCTCAGAGGCTATGCAGTCGCGTAGGCCATTTTATAGCTCGATTTTCCACTTTATCCAATTTCATTTCAATTCATCCTCCTTGATTTTGAACAACAAATTTGCAACAATCATAATGAGACATGAAGATAAAATTTGGGGCGTGAGATGGGGTTCTGGACTACAAGTGGACAAGCCATGCATGGCCAAGTCTATAACTTCTTGTCTGTCTCTTTCAATCGCTCATTGTTCGAAACAATTTTTGGAGTAGTATATCTGAAAATCTTCATGAGATGGTAATCTCACACACAAATGCCGTTGCAAAATTGAAACCATCAGGGTCGAAACTATGCACTTAGTTGCCATATCTTAACTCTGATAGTTTTATTAATCTACAGAATGCAAATGAAGAGTGTTGTCACTGGTTGAAGCATTCCTTTAGAAATTATATATGTTTGCTTTCAAAAAATCCAGAATAGGGAGAAATGTTGAGAAAAATGATGATTAATGAGTGATAAGTACACTACAATATTGTATTTTTTTTTCCAATTTTTTTTGTTGAATTAGAAATATAATTGTAAATTTGTTGTGGTTTATTTATTAAAAATATATTTTAATTGTGGTGTGATTATAATGTGTTGTCGTAATAAAAATTTGTAGTAGTAGTAGTAATACATCACAATTTTTATCTTGCAACAAATTTTAATTTCACTAAAGTTCTCAATCTTTGTTCATTTTATCACTTATGTCCCTAATAATTTTTCATGTCATTCTTATTTTTGAACTTTTCGTTAATTAAAACATTTTATATTTGATAATAATTTTATGTCCAAAAGTTCATTGAAATGGTGTAAAGCAACTTATTTTTCATCATATTTTTTAAATAACAAATGAATAAAAAGTGCGAAAAAATATTTCTCTCTCATTTCAAATTATGTAAACAAAATATTTTGATATAAATAATTATCAAGGATGACATGTTCTAAGTAATAGAAGGCAGAAGATAAGAAATTTGACGAAAAAAGTTAAGGAAATAATTACTACAACGAGCAAAGATTGAAGAGTTTAACGCAATTAAAATGTGGTGTATCAATTAAAAATAATTGTGGTAATATACTACCTTTATAATTATGGTGTAACAAGTAATTTTATTGTGGTAATGTAATTACCCATATTTTTATCATCCAATAGGTCAAATGTACCTTCCGAGTAAACCTTAATTATCGAAACAATCAAGTTATATGTACATTAAGTTTGACATTGTTGTGAGGTAACATTTTTTTACATATTGATATTTACAATACTTTAAACAATCAATGGAATAGATTTTGACCACACTTGGAATTTCATCCTTAAATGTACACAAAGGTGTACAACTAATTTAGTCCCCGTTTGGTTTTCAATAAAATAAATTTCATTTTTTCTCTCATATTTTAAATCACACTTTCATAAAATAATATTACACGTAAATCGAAAACTTTTTCTTTTTTTTAACCACTCATTTTCCAAAAAAATTACTATTTCCTCCATTTTAATTTGAAAAAATGGGAGCCGAACAGGGCTTAATCCTTTTTGAAATGGCCCTCTCGAATTATCTTCAAATCATTTTCTTGATCACACGTTGAGTGCTAAATAGACATTTCCTAAGAAAAGTCACCAATTTTGAATTCAACCTTGTAGGTGCAGTGTTAGAAATGTGCATTGACTTTGCATTTTAAAGCAAAATGGAAACCTACTAATGTTTCATAAATGGGAAAAGCCATCTTAACATCATTTTTGACATCATTCGAGTTGGTAATATTTAATTGATGAAAAAATTATTTATTTTTTAAAATGGTCCAATAGTAATACACACGATGTAAAATAATCAGGACATCCACTATCTCACCAGAAAGGTACTCCCACTCTCACACCTGCGCATTGATATGTCACTGGAAATTTGACTCGTTAAGAAGCGCGGGAAGCTCTCATTAATACCACGCTTAAGTGCAGAGAGAGGATGAACGATTCAGGCGCCATTCTGTGTCAGATCTCTTCTCTCAAGGACATGCTTGATCAGGTATTCTCACGTAACTCTGATTTTACATACAACGGTTTTGCTTTACGGTATGAAAATTCTCTGTTTAATTTCATTACTCTGAAGGTGAATGAAGAAATCGAAGCGAGCATCCAGATAACCAGAGAAATTGAATCGGAAATGGTCAAGTGCGGGGAAATCGAGTGCGCTTTAGCTGCTCGTGAATCTGAGTTGATGAAAATGGGTTATACGTTGCAGTCCGAGATCACTGGTTTGATCACTGTCGCTTGTAAGAAATTTATTTCTTCTCTGATTTCTTCCTTTCCCCAAAAAAAGAAAAAAAAAAAAAAAAAGGAAATACAAACCGGAGTTTAACGAATGATTTACAGCAATTGGAAATGTACTTATTTCTATATTACTTAATTCCGAGTTTAATGAATGATTTCTAGCAATTAGATTGAAGTCATTCTTGACAAAGTATTGGGTAGAAACTTAAAGTTTTTACACATGGTTCCGATTTTATAAAATAAAGAGGATCAGCAGAGCAAATTATTAATTGTTGGAAAAGTATCATATTGTACTAGGAAATTGGATTGTAGATGTGAGGCATGAGAAATTAAAATATACATGAGAAAAGTGGTATTGGGAATGGTCACACAAGCAAAAATAAGATTAAAGCAAGTGGAAAGAAAAATACAATTTCAGCAATCTTAATAAACTGAATGACGAGTCTACTATTTATATGGGACATGTCAAAACTTTCGAAGTAACCTAAAAGATGAAACTAGGTCAAAATACATGTGAAACGGACATAAAGCAAAAAACTTAGACGGCGCCGTCATTCAAGCGCCGTGCAATAGCCCCGTTGCTCGAGCTAGAGCTCGGTGATAGGCAGGCGACAACTTTTGCTCCAAAAAGTTTCTCTACTGCTTGAGCGACTAGCTAGTAATAGGCTAGTAAAAATCCGACGACTTTTCTTCTCGATTTATAATTTTGATCTTTCTATGACCACTTCATCTAGAACTTCAATGCTTACTAAAATTTGGGTTACATTACAAAAAATCTCCACCTTGACAAAAATTTCGATGCGACGAATGAAGATCCAAAATTTCTTCACCTGGAAAAGTAAGTCCGACTGCAATGAAATAGACTGAACTCTTCAACCAGAACCAAACTTCTCCACCTCACGAAAAATTATTCTTCATCTTTCATAGTATCGACAAATGATTGCCGAACCCAAATACTGGGTTTCCAAAATTTTCACAAGGAATTCAAAATTTACCAAAAATAGGATTGAAGCACACCCTATAGTAGAATCAGCTTCAAATGTTTAACTGAAGGCCCCTTGCTAGTCTCGACACCTTCAAAACCACAAAAACATATACAACCAGATCAACATCCTCGTATCTATCCTCAATGGGTCATTCCCTAGCAATTGAACACGATGGCACCCGCAGAGCAGAATTACCTATGTCCTCCAGACTCATCTGAGTAGTGTTCTTCAATAATGACCAAGACCCAACTCTCAGAGGTATTGTACCAAACTGTATATACACCACGGTACTAAACCTGTTTCGATGATTCTTGGCGATTCTGCTCGACCTTGTAAAATGTACAGCTAGAACTTCTTCCGCACATCCAGTACCGCACGGACACTCTTTCGAACTTTCAAGACTCTTTCTCCCTTCAAATCAACGGTACTTAGTGAGATGAGATTCTTCTTTAAATCTGGAACATGTCGAACTTGGCCAAGTTTTCTAATAGTTCCATCCAACAACTTCAATTTGACACTGCCAAACCAGCTACTCGACAAGATTCGTTGTTACCCATGACAACGACATCTTCATCATTGTTTCATATGTTTCAAATAAATCCCGATTGAGAAACATATGGAATGCACAAGCTGTATCTAAAACCCACTCCTCGTCAGGTTTGGATTCCATGTCAGAAATCATCAAGAGTTTTTCATCATTCAAATAGTCCTCAGCTATGTGGGCCTCGTCAGAAATATTTGATTACTTTCCATAATTTGTAGTCGAATTACCTTTGCTCTGCAACTTTTCACAGTCTTTCTTGATGTGTC